GAACTCACGACCTTGCGCTTGCCAGGCAGGCGCTTTGCCGCTGAGCTAAATCCCCAGCCCGTCTCTTGCTTACTTCTAAAACTTTGCTTTGTATATTTGAAACAAGTTATTACTTTGGCATACGAGATTTGGAAATAATGACTTTTATTAACATTGGAAAATTTATTTTACAAAAGTAATTTCATTTCTATAAGTTTATTCTTCTTAGATAAAGAAATTTTCTCTAAAGCATTTAAAGCTGCCATTTTTTCTGGTTAGTAGCATGATGTAAGACTTATTTTAGGGGCTGGGGATTTAGCTCAGCAGCACAGCACCTGCCTGGCAAGTGCAAGGTCTTGAGTTCGATTCCCGGTACCAGAAAAAAAAAAACCAAAAACCAAAAAACAAAAACAAAGACTTGTTTTAGAGTTGTTGTACTATATAAAGAGTGGAACAGTTTAAAAAAATTTATCCACTTACAGAGTAAGTAAGAATACCCATACTTTTAGACTAGGAAGCTTTAAAATGTGCAGAAATATGGTTTTAAAATATTTTCTTAGGATTTTAGTCATCCTTAATGTAAATGCATTGTCTGTTTACCAGATACTGTTATATGATAGGGATAATATCATTACAGATAGCATTGTTATGGCAGGTAACCAGAATCATTCATACAGGCCAAGATGGAATAAGCCAGATTTTATTTAGGCCTCTGGTGATACCCCAAATCAACCCTGGGGATAGGGAAACAGCAGGTTTTATAGTAGTTGGTCCAGTTTCTAAAAATAGCTGGATATTTCCAGAAAGGTGGAGTACAGCGTATTTCTGAGCACATGGTGATAGTCATATTTATGGGGTTATTACAGCATGTGTCAGAAAGCATTTTATCAAAAATAGAAGCTGCTTATAAGTGGAAACTGCTTAACACAAGATTTTGGGAACAAGAGTGAGTTCATCTGAAGTTTGAAGATTCTAAAGTGCAGTTAGATGCAAAATGGGGTCTCTGTGCCTAGAAATAATAGAGGTAGTAGAAATGTCTGTATTCTGATGTTCTTCTATTTGAGCTGTTATTTTTAAGACGTAAGTGCTGTATATATTTCTTTATGAAAAATCATACTTAGAAATAGTAACTTTTGCAGATGAAGGCTAAAATTTTTCTTCTACTGTTTTGAGAAGCACTGTACTTTTTCTACATTAATACCACAGGGTAAGGTATTAATATATTGACTGTTTAACTGAAGTAGAAATCTATGACGGGGAATGGTTGTTTGCATCTTAGGTTGAAATCAAATATGAATATGATCATACCAACATTAGAAAAAAATCTCCCTTAGTTAAGAAATTGTAATTACTGTGGCATGTATGTAGTTTTGTTTTTTATTTGTTTGTGTTTGTGTTTTTCCACTAGGTTTCCAATCTGGAATATGTGTTAGTTCCCTTTGATACAGTTGGATTTTTTTTTTTTTTTTTTTTTGAGACAGGGTCTTGCTATATAGTTCAGGCTGTCTTTGAACTCACTGTGTAGCCCAGGCTGACCTTGAACTCACAGTGATCCACCTGTCTCAGCCTCCTGAGTGCTGGGATTATAGGCATGCACTACCATGGCTAGCATAGGATGTCATTTTAAAATTCTATTATATTTTAGGCATGCACCACCATGGCTAGCATAGGATGTCATTTTAAAATTCTATTAAAATCCTATTTGTAATTCTATTATAGGAATGTTTATATACATTGTAGAAAATTTGGAAAAATAAAAAAGTGGAAAGAAGTAAAAATGATTATTTTTAAATCCTTCTTTTAAAAGAAAATTACCACTAATGTTAAACAAAAAGAAAAACCAAAAAACAAATACAAAACCACCACAACAATAAAACAGAGAGAGAGAGAAAGGGAGGGAGTCTGCTTCTAGGTATATCTCTGTTGTGACTGGTAGACAACTTGTGGAGATGGAGACTTGGATCTGTTGATTCATCCCAGCAAGCCAGCAGTAGCTTTTTGGCGGTGTTGTGCATAATCTCAGCAAGTCTGCATCTTATGACCAAGACCAGACTCAGTGTGGATCTGAGCCCAGCTGGGAGCCACTAGATGGAGTCAGCAGCTGCTGAGTGCAGAGCTCAGTTGGCCCCTCTCCAAGGTGGCTCCCAGTCAATTGCCCTCCTGTGCTGCACAACTGAGCCCTCACCACTCACAGCCAGCTAGTGCAGTCCTTCACATCTGATGCTCCCCTCCACTGCTGTGTTTCTCCGTGGAGGCCTCTGGGGTCACCAGCAGTCACTGTGTGTCCACAGATTTCAATTGCTTTTCTTTTGCAGTGAATCCCGTCTCAGGAGAAGGCACCACCAGCCACCTCCTCCTTCTTCATTGAAATTTCTCTCTTTACTCTCTCTGTATACTTCAGTTCATGCTTCAGATCCTTTCTGGATACAAGAGACCCTCTTCCCTCCTTCTTGTGTTCCTCATGTTGCTATATTTCAGTATCTGGACTGTGACTCTCAGACTCTTTCTCTGCTGCTTACCACTCTGCTATCTTGGTGCTGCTGCCCTATTGATATTTCTTATTGTAGATTACAGTTCAACAATTGAAAGCACTTGTTGTATATTAAGTCAGTGATAAAATAGGATTTTTAAGTTAATTGGTAGAAAAGTAGAATTTTAAAGTATGTTTTTAGCCAGGTATAGTGGCCCATGCCTGTAATCCCAGCACTCGGGAGTTGGGAGGCTGAGGCAGGAAGATTGTCATGAGTTTGAGCCCAGCCTGAACTACATAGTGGATTCAAGTCCAGCCTGAACTATGTAATGAGTTCAAGGCCAACCTGAGCTACATACATAGTGACTTCAAGGCCAGCCTGAACTGCATAGTGAAACCCTGTTTAAAAAAATAAATAATGTATATTTCTGCCTGGGATGCTAAGGAATTCTGTTTTCTAAAAAGAACACTAACAAAGTAGTTGTTCTGGAATAAAAACAAAATGGAGAAATTTTGGATTTTTAAGACTGAAACATTATTAATGACCAAGCATGGTATCCCATGCCTATAATCCCAATAATTAGAGTAGAATGAGGCAGGATTGTGAATTTGAGGCCACTCTGTGAGACATGGTGAAAGTGAAACTTTTGTCTCGAGCTCTGTGATAAAAGGATTCACATTACATTTTGTTACATATGGTTTTTGTTTTTATGTTCTAGGAGATTCAGGTGTTTGGGGGTTGAAAAAAAATTTTGCTTTATTGGAGCTTTTGGAACGACTACAGAATGGACATATTGGTCAGTATGGAGCTGCAGAAGAAGCCATTGGCATATCTGGAGAGGTATTAATTCAACTTGGTAAAATATTTGTTACAAGATGATTTTTCCTTTAGTTTAAAATATTTGCTATTATTAACACAATGGTACCTCACTTCCTTTAGCAGGTAAATTTCTAGAAACACAGCTTTTTATTACGTTATACTTCTAAAGACTACACTACTCACAACATAATAAAAGTACAACTGCAGCTTGAATTATTTGAAAATAGTATTCCTAAACTCTTTTATATGTAAAATTTCCTACTTATTATAATTCAATTCTACCCAAGGATAGAGTGAATAATAGGATTGGATGAGTAAAAAATATGTAAGCTACATGACAACAGAAGATGCAAAAGTATATTAGTCAACAGTGAAGTACAATAACCACAACAAAAAACTCCATGAAAGAGACCACTTCATGTACAGGGAAAATGTCTTAAAGATAGTAGCTTAGTTATGAATATATTTTTGTTATTAAATGAAACTTATGGGAGGCCATGACTTTGAACTGGATATCTGTGCTGAGCCCAACAGACTAAACATATATAGGATATAATCACAATTTGTTTAATCATAGTAACTAATCAGTGGTTAGTTGGAGGTTGCCAATCCATTGGTGGATTAACTAAGCTGTAGCCAGTTATTTTCTGTATCTCACTTCTACTTTTTAAAATAAATCCTACTTGATTGCATTGTTGGTGGAAGTTCTTTGAAACTGTTCTGGGAGATGCCCAGGTTGCAAATCATTTTTTCTTTGCACTGGTTTGTTTTCTTTGCTCCAATATACTCCACTTGACAAAATTGGCCTAAGGAATTTTCTGTTTTAACATATATAAATTTTTGTAAGATTATGGAGTATTACATTTCAAATTTGCTATGTCATATTTACTGGATTCAGTTTTAAGCCATTAATTTTTGTTTTGTCAGAGTATCATTCGTTGTGATGAAGATGAAGCTCACATTGCATCTGTATATTGCACTGTGTGTGCTACTCATTTGTGCTCAGAGTGTTCTCAAGTTACGCATTCTACAAAGACATTAGCAAAGCACAGGCGAGTGCCTCTAGCTGATAAACCTCATGAGAAAACCATGTGCTCTCAGCACCAAGTACATGCCATTGAGTTTGTTTGCTTGGAAGAAGGTTGTCAGACCTGCCCCCTCATGTGCTGTGTCTGCAAAGAATATGGAAAACACCAAGGTCATAAGGTATGAATTTTACTAAATTAGATGATTCTAGCTAATTTACCAGCCTACCATTTGTTTTCTCTGATCTGGTTCTTTATGCTAGAATGAAGAATTGAAGAAGAATTAAGTGATGTGTGGATTTGTCTTGGTAGCATGAAATGAGTTTGTTTGTTTTTTTTTTTTTTTTAAAGACTGGGTCTTGCTATGTAGTTCAGACTGCTCTTTTTTTTTTCCCCTTCTTTTTTGTCTTTTTGAGACAGAGTCTCCCTATGCAGTTCAGGCTGGCCTTGAGCTCACTTTGTAGCCCAGGCTGGTCTTGCAGTGATCCTCCTGCCTCAGCCTCCCAAGTGTTGGAATTACATGCATGTGCCACAACGGCTGGCTTCAGACTGCTCTCAAACTCAGAGCAATCGTCCTGTCTCAGCCTAGAAAATGCTGGAATTATAGGCATGTATCACCATGCCTGGCTTGAGAGATTTTTTAAAGTCATAAAAATTTCAGCCCTAATAACTCTTTACTGAAAAATATCTTTCTAACCTGGTGTAGTGGCACACACTTATAATCCTAACTACCAGGGAGGCTGAAGCAATAGGATTGCAAGTTTGAGTCTCCCTGTGCAATTTAGTGAAACCTCATTTCACAGTAAAATTTTAAAAGTAAAGGATTAGGGTAGGTCGGTGGTAGAGTGCTTGCCTAACATGTCCAGGATCCGGGGTTCAATCTCCAGTAATTCCAAAGGAAGAAAAAGAACTTTTTAGTAGGAAACAAAAGCCTTCTTTATGTGTATGTTTTCATAATGCACAGGATAATGTCATAATATTTATGTCTACTGATGAACTATGGTGATATAATTTTGGACATAGTCCCTAGGTTTCTTGTCTGATACATGGACTTCCAAATTTTAAATAGTATAGTTGTAGTGTAGTTCTCTTATGAAGAAGTAAAAGTGAGTTTTTAACTTGTTATGCTGTACTTTTTCTAAAAATGTTATAAAAGCCATCTGTGGCTGATTTTTTTTTTTTTTTGGTATTAAGCAGAATTTAAAGTAGTTTTTATATCATTAGCCAGTTTTGTGAATTCTATAATTATGTTGCATTTTATAGCATTCAGTATTGGAACCAGAAGCTAACCAGATCCGAGCATCAATTTTAGATATGGCTCACTGCATACGGACCTTCACTGAGGAAATCTCAGATTATTCTAGAAAATTAGTTGGAATCGTTCAGCACATTGAAGGAGGAGAACAAATAGTAGAAGATGGAATTGGAATGGCTCACACAGAACATGTATGGATTTTTTCTTCTTTTTTAATCTTCTTACCCTTTTTCATTCTCACCTTTTCACCTTCTAGTAAGTATTGCACCGTTACAGTGTGCTGGTACCGCACTAGTGACTGAAAATAACTTTTTAAAGAGTATTGTTTGGATGGAAGTTGTCATCTGTTATGAAAAGGAGGCTGTGTGTTAGTGTGAGAACTATTTTGCATGTCTGGTAGGGAAACGTGGAGTGCACATAAAAGGGGCAACAATTTGTGTGGGTCAAAGAAGGCTTTCTAGAAGAAGTCATGTCTAAACTGAGATTTGAAGGAGTTTGGTCAAGGAGAAGATTGTGGTAAGGAGTGAGCTGTTCCAGAGAGGGTAGAATATGTTAAAATGCTGAAAAGTGAGGACTGGATATGAAGAAACTTAAAATTCACTTGAGCTCTTAAAACTTCATGGCAAGAAGACAGGTTGGAGAGTTAAAGGCTAAATCATGCAAGATCTTTTTAGCCATGTTAAAGAGTTTGGAACTTAAGTGCATTGATGAGCTATTCAAGAATTGATGTAGGAATGACATAGTCAGATTTTATTAAACAAGGTTGCTTTTAAATACAGAAAATAAATTGGAAGAACAACATATTGGAAGCAAGAAGATCTATTCAGACATTGTTGAAAGTTTCTGATTCTGAGGTGTTTATAGCCTGTACTGCTAGGGTAGTCAGAATGGAGAGTAAGATGGACTTGAGATTTGAGGTTTTTTTGTGTGTCCCCCCCCCCCCACGCCCCGTACCAGGAATTGAACTCATGACCTCGCACTTGCCAGGCAGGCGCTGTGCCGCTGAGCTAAATCCCCAGCCCCGAGATTTGAGGTTTTTAAGGAAGTAGAATAAGTAGGTCTTATGATTGATTGTTGATATTAATCGGTCAGGTAATTTGGAGGGTCAAGCTGTTAGACCAGTTAGAAGCTATTAAACCGACTGTGATTAAAAATTCAGTGAATGTTTAAATTAAAAAATTATTATGGTGAAATACACATTGCCATTAATCACCATTAGAATACTTCCTCTCGCCTAAGGTACACTTACTCTTTCCACTTTCTGAAACAGTTCTGGAAGTTCTCTTTTATGAGTGTCTTTAGTTGTGCTATTGTGACTACCCTAATGTCTGAGCTGATTGAAAACGTTTGCCTTTCATAGTCATTTTGACACTGGGGAGGAGCCAGAAGTCACACAGTGCCAGATTCCATGAGTAGGGAGGATGAGAACGCACCATCATGTTTTCCCAAGCCTGCCTTCCCGTTGCCGCTTAGCAGCAGCATTCACAGTGTGTCTATAATCACCCCAAGTAAAGACACAGAGGAGGACTTCCAGAATTACTTCAGGAAGTAGCAGAGATGACAAAATAAGTATTTTTGAACTGAGGGAGATATTTTGAGGGGGATTAATGGCAATATATCTTTAATGTAACATTTAAAAATTTAAACATTCAATGTATATTTTGCTCAGACCTCCTAATAACAAGGTCAGAGATGATAATGCTTGGACTAGGTTGTTGAATTGAGGGTGGTAAAGCATGATCAGGTTCTGGATACATTTTGAAGTCACGAGAAATTTGCTGAAGGGCTAGTTATGGTTTGTGGAAGAGATGTTAAGGATGACTCCTATTTTTTCTTTTTGGCTTCAACAACCTGGAGGATGGAGTTACCATTTACTGAGATGGAGGTAACTAGGTTTGGGGGTTGGGGAGTCTGGAGATTAGGTATTTCATTTTGCTTGAGATGTCATTCATAAACAGTTAGATATTCAGAGTCTGTAGTTGAAGGGAAAGCTCTACTGTAGAGGTTTAAATTTTAGAATTTGTAAGGGTATAGATGTATAAAATATTTGTTTAGGTTACATGTGTTTAAAATTTACTATATTCCTTAGGTACCAGGTACTGCAGAGAATGCACGATCCTGTGTCCGAGCTTATTTTTCTGATCTACATGAAACTCTGTGTCGTCAAGAAGAAATGGCTCTAAGTGTTGTTGATGCTCATGTTCGTGAAAAACTGATTTGGCTCAGGCAACAACAAGAAGATATGACTATTTTGTTGTCTCAAGTTTCAACTGCCTGCCTCCATTGTGAAAAAACTTTGCAGCAGGTAAATGGTTTAAATATGTCTATAGCCATAGTTGTAAGGTTCAATAGATGTAACCAGAGATACACATTATTCTTTTTTTTTTTTTTAGTTTTGATTTTTGTTTTTTTGAGACAGGGTCTTGCTGTGTAGAGCAAGCTGACCTTGAACTTGCTTATGAAGCCCAGGTTGACCTCAAACTCAAGGTGATCCTCCTGCCTCAGCCTCCCGAGTGCTGGGATTACAAGCATGCACCACCATGCTCAGCAGATATACACTATTTTATTTTATTAATTCAGTTACCATTTGAGCTGTCCTGCATACATTGATATTGTTCTTAGGACATGGTCTGTACCTTCAAATTACCACTTTAACCATATCAATGTCCTGTTCTTCATTTACCCTCTCCATTGTAAAGCTGTTGATTCTAGGAACCCTGTAACTTCTTGTCCTCTTTCAGTCATGCCAAGCTTTGTTGCTGTTCTTTGCCAGGTATGCTATTGTTTCTGCTTAGAGTGCCTTCCTTTTCTGTTAGTGGAAATCTTCCTTTGCCTTCAAGGTTTTGTTCAAATGTTTGCTAATCTTTGGAGCTTTTTCTTCCTTAGTCTTTTTTTTTGGATGACTTCTAGCAAGTGTTCTCTGCCTCTGTTCTAATTTGATAGTTCTTCAGTATTACAGCAAACCCATATTTTGTGATGGTTGAGGTATTATAAGCAATTTGTTACCCAGTTTGCAGATGATTTGTTTTTTAAATAAATTAGATTCCTCATTTTGTATCTGCTTTCATAAATAGGAGACATAAGGGTAATCACTACTGTAGGAATTTTAGAACAGCTGCCATTTACCTTATTTTTATGGGTGCACTGCTAATTATTATGTTCATTTCAAATTATGGTAGGCTACACCTTTTACTCTTACAATGTCTTTTCTGTGAAATATCTGATTGTACGTACGGGAAAGTGGCCAGTGTGTAACCTCATCAGTCTTGAGTTGTTTGGTGTTTAGTCTTATTTCATTGAATTGTAGCAGTTGTTGTGTATGCAACTTATTAAGTTGTCTTTCAGCTCCAGTCCTTCTCTCCTATTGTCTGTTTTGTGATAGTGGGCTACAAGTCTATAAACCACTTGCCTGTGTAGGCAGCTTGCTCCCTTTTAGGTGTTGTCTATAGAGGCCACTAGAGGAAATTTGGAAGGCAGGAGTCAGCTAGGCTTCCTGTGGGTACCGGTTTGTGTGGGGTTTCAGTGACTGTCACTCCTTACAGTGAAGGAACAGTTTCTCAGAGGTCTGCATTTTAGCTGTAAGCAGCCCCATCTATGAATTTCTAAGTTTTATTAATTCTAATTTTTACCCTTTATTCCCCAGCCCTTTGGATGTTAGCTATTTCCTACAGTTGCTACCTCCATGATACTACACTTTCAACCATCTACTTAATAATTACATCTAGTTAGGTTTTTTTGTTTTGTTTTGCTTTGTTTGAGATTGGATCTTGCTGTGTAGTTCAGGCTGGCCTGAACTCAATATATAGCCCAGGCTGACCTCAAATTTGTGGCAATCCTCCTGCCTTAGCCTCCCAAGTGCTGGGATTACAGGTATGTGCTACAAATCCCATCTATATTAAGTTCTTTATGTTCAAGTAACTGGATTATTTATGTCTTCTGACTTGACCTTTAATGATATAGTATGCATATTTGCCCCAGAAGCTGTCTGGGTACATCTGGTTCATCTTTCTATGTTTAAATACTTTGTATATCAATAGATAGAATTTATTAAATACTTGTTCAACTCATGGTGGGTGATCAAGCTACACGGCAACATCAAAACAGAATAATGTCCTAAGTCATATTTCCTGACTGAGTATTTTCATATTTACTTTATGAAAAAATATGTTCATATTTATGCAGTATCTAAAATTTTGAAGAGTTTCTGAAGTATTCTGTCAAGATAATTGGTTATTGTCAGCAATATATTATTCCATTGTGTTAATGCACCTAAAATTGGGTCTTGGATTTGTTTTTAACATAGAACCCCTAGTTTTTTCTTGTTTTAAAATTTTTAATTAATATATAATAATTCTACATACTTACGGGCTACAATTGCTGTTTTGATGTACATATTGTTGTTATGGTTTGTGTCTAGATGTCCCCCACAAAGCCTCCTGAACTCATGGGGTGGGCTTCTAGAGGGTTTTTTTTTTTTTAGTCTTTTTGAGATAGGGTTTCACTTTTCAGTTCAGGCTGGCCTTGAACTCACTTTGTAGTCCAGGCTGGCCTCAAATGCCCAGCAACCCTCCTGCCTCAGCCTCTAGAGTGCTGGGATTACAGGCCTGCACCCCCACAGTAGGCTAGAGTTTTTTATTGATTCATGGTCCAGTGCTGCGATTGTGTGATTACTACAGCTACCCTGGGGCTGGTAGCCCACATACAATACAAGGGAGGGAAAGAGGCTTGCTTGCTCTGCTCTTCCCTTTTTGCTCTTGTTGCTTGTGCTTCCTTCCGCTGCTATGAACTATTGCTGTCTGCCATGTGCCACCCTTTCTTGGAGCCAGCTGAATATGGACTGAAACCTTCACAAACTGTGAGCTAAATAAACCTTCCCTTCCTTAATTTTAGGCATCAGGTATTTTGTCTCAGCAATGAGAGAAAAGTAACCAAGATAATTGTATAATGATTATGTCAGGGAAATTAGCATATCTATCATCTCAAACATTTATTATTTCTTTGTGGTGAGAGCACTGAACAGGAAGAACTTAATATATATCTCTCTGTGTATCTCTTAACTGTATATCTGACAGGAATTCAAATAACAGCAAAATACCCCCAAATAATCTAATCCAAAATGAGCAAACACCACTAATCATCTGGGAAATGCAAATCTGGCCCTCAATGCATTGTGCTTTGGTCATTCCAATTAGAATGGCTAATATTTTAAAATTAGAAGTTAACAAACCCTCCCTTTAAGCTATTTTAAAGTATACAATGTAGGTTGAGTACCCAGAAATCAAAAATCCATGTTCTGGAATCTGATTTTTTTGGGATTTTTTGAGACAACATTTCACTAAGTTGTTAAATTGCCTAGACTGGGCTTGAATTTATGATTTTCCTGTCTTAGCCTCACTGGGATTACGCATGTGTCCCACTATACCATGCCTGGTTTAAACTCTGAAACTCTTTGAGTGCCAATGTGACACTGAAAAAATTTTTAGTTTTGGAGCTTTTCAGATTTAGGTTTTTTGAATTAAAGATGTTCAACTGTAACATCTATATAAATATTCTCAAATCTAAAAATCCCTAAAATCTGAAACAGTTCTAATTCAAAGCATTTCACACATAGAGTACTCAATCTGTATATTATTGTCATTCTGTATTCACCCTGTAGTGTAATAGAACACCAGAATTTATTCCTTCTTTCTGTTGTATCTGTGCTGGTTGACCAACCTCTCTCTATTCTCTTTCCTCCACACCCTTTCCAGCGTCTGTTAACCACTGTTCTATTTTCTGCTTCTACTAGAGTAAGTCTTTTAGATTTCGTATGTGATTGAGGTAGTATAGTGTTTGTCTCTGCACCTGACTTATTTCATTTGTTGTAAAGTCCTTCAGGTCATCTTTATACACCACATTTTATTTTATTTTCTCTTATTTATTTATTTATTTATGTATGTATGTATGTATGTATGTTTTTGAGACAGGGTTTCACTGTGCAGTTCAGGCTGGCCTTGAACTCACTTTGTAGCCCAGGCTGGACTTGAACTCATGGTTAATACATTAGATATTGTTATCTTTAAATTAGTTACTCAGAGTGCAAGATATTGGCATTTAATTTGAACAACTTCAGCTTTAATTGATGGTGATGGGGCGATCATTGTAGTGTTTTGAGAACTTGTTAAAAGGATCCCTCTGGCTGACGTGTTAAAAATACACTGAAGGAGGCTGAAGATGTAAAGAAGGAGTTCAGCAAGAGACTGTTGTTAGAATTCAGGAGAGACTTGGTGGTTTGGATACTGGGTGTTAGAAGTGCCCAAATATCTCATAGGTTATAGTGTCAGATTTTATGTGGGGTCTGAGGGAGAGAGAAAGCAAGAATAAATTAAAACTTTGTTCTGAGCAACTATAATTTTTATCACCTAATATAAGTATTAAACAATGAGCAAAACAGATCATAATACTGCCATCATCCTTGAAAGTTTTTTTTGACTGTTTCTTTTTTTGTGGTGCAGAGGTTCAAACCTGGGGTATCTCATAGGCTAGGCATGTGCTCTGCAGTGACCTATATCCCTAGCTCAGGAGATTATTTTCATATGAAAACTATATTGGTACATGTATAGAATATTTAGGACTGGAAAATATTTTATTTTGAGAGGGCCTGTTGATCTAGAGTGAGAGGGAAACTTCACAGTTTGATTTTTGTCCTTTTTAAGAAACCAATACATATATTATTTTTCAAATTTAATGTGGAAGTGGAATGACCGTAGAGAAGTGTGTACATAAATGCTTGGCTGACTGAATTTTTAGGTTGATCTCTTAGTGTGTAACTAGCACTCAGATCAAGTAATAAGATTGCCAGTACTTCAGAAGTCCCTTCTGTTTGCTATTTGCCTAACTCTGCACAGATGAAGAACTTTCTTTCCTATTTTTTTTTGTTTGTTTGTTTTGGTACTAGGGATTGAACCCAGTGCCTTGTGTGTGCTAGGCAAGTGCTCAACTACTAAGTTACATCTCCAAACCTTTTTATTTTTTTATTTTTGACACAAGGTATAAGTTGTTTAGATACCTCAAATTTACAGTCCTCCTGTCTTTAGCCTCCCAAGTAGCTGGGATTATAGATATGTGCTAGTGCATCTGGCTAACTTTTCTGACTTCTGATGGCTATTTTACTTTTAATTGTTTTGATAATTATATAAGTGGAATTATACAGGATGAGTTCTCTATGTCATGTCTTAGATTACATTATATTTGCAGAATTCATATCATCACATGTAATTATGTTTTATTCTCTTCATTTGTGAACATTATACAATTTATTTATTTTTCTTTTAGGTCCTTAAATTTTTTAATATTCATGTACTGTAATTCTGGTCAAGTTTACATTTTTTTTTTTAATTTTAAAGAGTAAAAGAAAGGTAAGATAGTAATAGGGGGGCTTACCAAATTACAAAGTGGTAGGAAATTATCAATGGTTGTAGTTTTACATATTGTTATCTATAAGACAGTTTCTCAGGAAAACAAATAGACAATAGTGAGTTACAGACAAAAGTGGTAGGTTATTATCAGTGGTTGTTGTACTATACTTTGGTATCTTCAAAGTGGTTTCTAAAGAAAATAACTAGAGCTATAAATGACTGACCATTGAATATTCATTGACTATTCTCAGTGGTTGTTGTAGGAAACACATAGTAATAAATATACATCCATTTACAAAATAGCGTAGGAACAATACAAACATTAGAGAGTTATGGACAGATTAGTAGGAAAGTATCAACGGCTGCTGTAAGACCTGGTGGTATCTTCAAAGTGGTTTCTCAGGAAGACAGAGATACGCAAGAAAGATCTAACAAGTAGGTGCAGCCTAATGGTTGTGAAAAAATAGCATATTACCTCCTCACCAGTGACTCCTTTCACTGAGGTCTGACTGCTGGAAGGAAGGCCAGGATTGAAAAGAAGGACCGAGAGACTTGTACCTGTGTCTAGCAATAGGCTGTTTTCTTTTTCCTCTGTAGTCATGATTACCCGGGGCTCCTCCATGGAGGTGACAGTCTGGCCAGAGAAGGCAGAGTATGCCCTGGGCCCCCTTATTCCTGTTGGACTAACTGGTAGGATGGGTCTGAGCTCTGGGGCCTCCACTTCAGAGGGCGGACAGATCTCCAGTGGTCTCCTTTGTATTCAGGGCATGGCCCAGGGGGCTTCTTAGGGCAGTCCCTCTTGAGGTGGCCTGGCTTTTAACAGTGGTAGCAGATGAATGCAGTCAGCGAGTTCTTCCTGGGGCCCCGAGAATCAGACTTAGGGTCTGTTTCTCTCAGTGCTGCAGCAAAAGCAGCTGCTTTTTCTCAGTCTCTTTGTTTTCTCTCCTTGGCCTCCTCGTCATGGCTGTAGAATACTGAGGGCAATTCTTACTAACATCTCAAGTGAGCCATCTGGGGCAAAAGCCATTTTTTGTAACTGTTTCTCTCCAGCCTCCCAGCGCTTTGGGACCCCGCAACCACTAGTGTCCTTTCCCCAACCATCAGCACAGGCAACAGGAATGTCAGTGCAGACCTCTCCGGAGCTCCATGTTGTTCCTCCACCGCAGCCTGTACTGTCAGGGGAAGAATGGCTTCCAGGGGGTCTCTCCAGGTATCACGCAAGGTCCTCCTGGTTTCCAGCTTCCAAATGGCTCTTGTGACCCCAGTCAACTAGACCTCTGAGTCTTCAGGCGTAGCCTGTATTCTTGTGTTCTCCGAGTCCTTGTTCAGCAGCTGCTCCTCTGCTGACTCTGGACCTTTGTAGTTCTCAACAGCAGGGGCAAGAGGGGCCAGTTGTGTGGCATGTATTCCCAGGGTTTTCTCCATGTTGGGATGATTCATGCATGTCCCCAGGCAGGCATCTGCGGCCAGCGTGTGGCGGGCCAGTTGTGTCATTGCTTCTGTGTGCCATGATAGTTTTCGACTGCGTGGTGGTGGCTGGTTTGTGGGCTGGCGTGCACTAGCATGCGCTGCCATACAACTTCCTGGGCACCAACTGCTCATCTCCCAGGTGCCTGCCTGGCTAGGGGTGGGCCCAAAGGCCGGCGCTTCAAGTTTACATTTAATAATTGAATACTGTAGTGTTAAATGGAACTGTATTCCACGTTGGCAATGGTAAGTTTCTGTTTCTTTAAGAAAAAGTTTATGAGAAATATTGTTATTCCTTTTCTAGGATGATTGTAGAGTTGTCTTGGCAAAACAAGAAATTACACGGTTATTGGAAACATTGCAGAAACAGCAACAGCAGTTTACAGAGGTTGCAGATCATATTCAGTTGGATGCCAGCATCCCCGTCACTTTTACAAAGGTAAAACACTTTATGTTTAGATGTGTTTTCAGACAAATCATGATTGATTTACATTTCTTCATAATCAGCTCAAATATACAACTAAGAAATTAATTACCAGACTTTTTAAGGAAAAAATTTCCCCTCAAGGACAGGTTCTTTTTTAAAAAAAAAAATTTTTTTATAATTTGTACATCTTTATGAGATACATTATGGTAATTCAGTACATACATACAATGTTTATTGATCACATGAATGTAATAAGCATTTCTAAGAAAACTTCATCAGTGGAAAATAGAAAAAATATATTATGAATTTTCCTGTATTCATTACTCACTTTAACAAGTATAAGCTTATTATGTCATGTGTCCTTTATTCAACTCCTTTACCTGCAGTCTCTGGGATATTTTGAAGTAAATTCTAGCATCATAAGATTTTACTCCAATATTGTATTTTATTTATGAAATATTTTAGTGTGCATCTCCAAAAAATAAGGATTTTTTCAAAGATTAGCCAGAATCATACCTAAAAAGTTTAACAATAATCTGTGACATTTTCACTAATGTTGTCAAGTATCCAGTTAGTATTCTGATTGTTCATGTTATTTCCAAACAAATTAATATTTTTGAGAAAGAATCTAAACAAAGCCCTGATTTGGCATTTGGTTGATACATTTAATTCTCTTTTTATACTGGATTCCCTTTGATTTAAAAAGGTTTGTGAAGGCTGGGTGTGGTGGTGTGTAATCCTGGCACTCAAGAAGCTAGGGCAGGAGAATTGCTGCTGGTTTGATGCCAGCCTGCGCTACAAAGTGAGTTCAAGGCCAGCCTGAACTGCATAGTGAAACCCTGTCTCCAAAAGACAAAAAAAAAAAAAAAAACAAAGACCACCCAAAAAAAACCCAATCAAACAAAACAACAATAACAAAATCAGTTTGTTAGCTCTATTTTCCTTTCTGTTTTTAGGGGTGGTTTTAATTTAGCTTTGTTTTATAATTATGTGACACAATTTGCAGGGTCTAGAGTCACATCTGCAAAGCAGTGTTCTTTAAGCGAAGTTTAACTTCTATCCTTGTCCCTTCCACACTTTTTAATTTGATAGTAAACTAGAGTTGTTCCTAGTTGTATATACCATTTGAAAAAAAAATAGAAGAATGTATGTGTGTGTTTGTACTCATATTGCCCACATTGAAAAATATAATATCATATACTTTTTTTATCTTTTCACTTAACTGTACATCCTAAAAAACCCCTCCATTACAATATACAGTTATTTTTTATTCCTTTTTATAGGTACAAGGTACTTTATTTTGAGGATGTGTCACTTTCATTTTGGTAAAAAACACATAATAAAAAATTTACCATTTTACCCACTTGTGGGAGTATAACTCCAATATTGTTAAGCATACTCATATTTTTGTGAAACAGATTTGCAGAACCTTTTCATCTTGTAAACCTGAAACTCTGTATTCTTTAAACATAATTGCCTCACTTGGCCCCACCCCACTTTGGCCCCTGGAATTACCATTCTACTCTGTGTTTCTGTGGATTTGATTAGCTTAGTTACTTTATATAAGTGGAATAGTACATTATCTATCTTTTTGTGACAGGCTTATTTCACTTTGCATAGTGTTTTCACAGTTCATGTTGTGGCATGTGAGATAATTTTTTTTTTTTGGCTGAATAATCTTTCGTTGTATATGTGCATGCCATGTGGGAGACCAGAGGTGAACTGAAGCTTAATTGGCCTCCTCTGTGAGCACAAAGGAGAAAGGCATCATGCAGGGATGATGGCAGTTGCAAGTTCTAGGCTAAATTCAATACAGCTGACTTTAAGTTGTTTACCTGAGTATGTATTAGTAGACAATAAGAGGCAGTTGAAGCTTGTGTTACTTTAATTGCTTGTACCTGTGTCTGGGTAAATAAAAGGAAGATGGGCTACCCCAGAGGCAAGAGGCCTCTGCCTGCCTGCCAAATTGAGTCTATGTGTCTGTGTAGTTCATCCTTGTTTGCCTTTGGTCCAGGGTAACAAATAGTAGCAAGACTAGGTCCCTACAAGCAGTGCCTGGGTGGGGAAGGCTCAGAGGAGTGGGCTGGATCCTCTGGAGCAGGGACCACGACTGGTAGTGCAGGCCAGTCTCCAACAATACCGTATTTTGTTTACCTATTAATCTGTCAGTAGACACTTAGGTTGCTTTCATCTCTTGGTTATTAAGTGCTGCTTTGAATGTGGGTATATTATAGACACTTTCAATTCTTATGGACATAAAACCAGAAGTGAAGGTAATGAGTGGATCATCTAGTAGATCTATTTTAAATTTTTTGAGGAACCATTTTCCATAGTTTTTACTCTATATTACAATCCCAACTTTAGTGCACAAGGGTTGTAGTTTTTCTACATTGTAACCAGTACTCATTATTTTCCATTTGGCCCTAGACAGACACCATCTTAACTGATGTAAGGTTTTATCTTGTTTTGCTTTTGATTTGTATTATTTGGTTGTTTTTATTTTTTTGTCCTTTTGAGACAGTGTCTCACCATGCAATTCAGGCTGGCTTTGAGCTCACTTTGTAGCTCGGGCTGGTCTCCAACTCTGAATAGTCCACCTGCCTCGGCCTCCTGAGTGCTGGGATTACAAGCGTGTGCCACCACACCTGGCTTGATTTGCATTATTTTGCTGACTAGTGATGTTCATCATTTCATGTGTTTATTGGCCACTTGTGTATTGTTTTTTTGAGAGAAATTTTCACTGTGCAGTCCAGGCTGGCCTTGAACTGACTATGTAGCCCAGGCTGGCCTTGAACTCACAGTGATCCTCCTGCCTCAGCCTCCAAAGTGTTGGGGTTACAGGTGTGCACCACCATGTCCAGTCGACTTGTATTTTGTCTTGAATATGTCTGCTCAAATAATATGTCCACATTTTGATTAGATTATTTGATTTTTTGTTGTTGAATTATAGGAGTTCTTTATATATCCTGGATATTAATCCCTTATGAGATCTTTAATTTGTAGGTATTTTCTCCCTTCTGTAGAATGCTTTTTATTGCATTGTGTCACTTTATGCAAAATAAATTTTAAGTTTGATGTAGTTCCATTCAAATATTTTTGCTTTGTGTTTGTACTGTCCAGGAAGTCACTGTCAAATTTAATATGATGAGGTTTTTTTCTTTTTTACTTCAAAGACTTATCACTTTGGGTCTTATGTTTAGGGATATTGTACTATTTTGAGTTAATGCCATGTTCCATATGTGGTATAAGATTAGCGTTCACCTTCATTCTTTTGTATGGGTGTATCCAGTTTCCCCTCAAATATTTATTAAAGAGACTATATTTTCCTCATTGAGTGATCTTTGGCACCCCTGTTGAAGATCACTTTATCATATATGTGGAAGTTTGTATTTGGGCTCTTTATTTTATTGGTATGTAGTATGTTTTCCTTTATGCCAGTACCACAGGATTTACATTATTATAGTTCTGTAAATATTTTGAAGTTTGTTTTCCAACTTTGCTTTTTCTTTTTAGAATTGATTTAGCTGTTCAGTGTCTCTTGAGAGTCTATAGGATGATTTTTCTCCCTATTTCTGCAAATAATTCAATTGGGGATTTTTTTTTAAACCATGTCTTGGGATTGAACCCAGGGCCTGTGTGGTAGATAAATGCTACAACTGAGCTATACTCCCATCCTGTGTTATTAGGATTTTGATAGTGATTATATTGAATCTGCACATCACTTTGGATAGTAATGACACTATATATGACAATATTAATTTCCCGATCCAGGCATGTGGAGTGTTTAATGGTTTCTTTATTTTAGCGATGCTTTGTGGTTTACAGTGTATGTCTTTTACTTCCTTGCCTGGATTTATTCTTAAGTATTTTTTTTTTTTTTGATACTCTTGTAAATGAAATTGTTTTTAAAATTTCCTTATTGGATCATTCATTATTGTATAAACACACAACTGATTTTAACATATTTATTTTGTGTTCTGCATCTTTGTTATTTGCATATATTCATTTTTAAGGAATTTTTTATTAGAGTTTTCCATATGTAAGATCACGTCATCTGTGAACAGAATTTTATCTTTATTTTGAGTGTTTTAGTACTGCATACAACTTGTTATTGAAAAAAGATTCAGTTGAGCTAGAATGTCTGGGAAAATTAAATGGGTATGAGTACTTTTTTTTACTTATATAACAATAAAATGGTCATTTTTACTAAGGACAGATTTAGCCAGGGGAGTAATTCAGCTCCTGAGAACATCAGATTTAGGATATTGTGGAATGTTTAGGAATGTATAGGAGACATAGAAATAATAAAGTGTTTTATTAATAAAAGGTACACATGCTATTATTTTGTAACTCCATATCAAAACTTAAAGATTTTAATAATTTAAATTATAGGACAACAGAGTTCACATTGGACCCAAAATGGAAATTCGAGTTGTTACGTTGGGATTAGATGGTGCTGGAAAAACTACTATTTTGTTTAAGTTAAAACAAGATGAGTTTATGCAACCCATTCCAACAATTGGTAAGTAAGAATATTGCTTTTGTTTTTACCTTATTGGACATTTTGTAAACAAACCCTAGCTTACAGCTGGGTATTATTTGATATTGATTGTTGTGTAGATGGGCTCTTTAATGGCTATAAGTCACCAGCATTTTAGAGAAAAACATGCAGGATTCTGTGGTTATGGGATTAAAATGTGGATGATAGAATAATAAGAAGGAATAGAATAATGGTGGGATAGTTAGAGGGAATAGAGGATTGGTGGCCCTGGCTGAGGGTTAGGGGAGTAGTAGTGGTCCAGAGTTGATATTTACATGGATTTCAAGGCCCTAAGGATCCTGGGAGAGTTATGGAGGGCTAGCAACCATTAAATCTCATGCAGGATTAGGAGTGGAGTTGTTTGGGCTTTATAAGTATTGCTACATGCAGATAATTCATGAATCATAATTACAAACTGTGTTGCCTATATTTGTTGTATCATTCATTGCAAAATACATTCAGTATAAAAGTAACCTTTTTTTTTAAAAACAGGTTTTAATGTGGAAACTGTAGAATATAAAAATCTAAAATTCACCATTTGGGATGTAGGTGGAAAACACAAATTAAGACCATTGTGGAAACATTATTACCTCAATACTCAAGGTAAGTAAAATATGGTACCTTAATTTTAAAAAAATTTAGGATGACAATTTTTAGTAAATTAATTTATACTAGTAAAACTAGTATTTAAACATTGATTAAATACTTCAATGTATATTAGTGATTGGCCCCTTATTTTTAAAAAATTGATAGTGGTAAGTTTGGGATATATACTTTTGGCTTACTCACAATAAACCATTATTATAGACTTAAAAACTGTACTTTAATGTTTAGGTGATTACCCTTACATCTTGGCTGCTGTTGGTAGTTAACATACATCATTAGTATTCACATGGTTGTGATCACTGGCAATATAGTCGTACAGAGTTGTATTTATGCTGTGTGCTTTTGTTGTTCAGTTCATTTAAACGTTTAGCCCATTATAATCCCTTAGTAGTGCCAGTACCTAATTTATTAGTTGTTTTCAGAGGCCTTACAATGGCTTACTCTTGACCAAAGTGTATATATCACCTATATTCCACCTTGCTACTATTTATGTTTGGGCCCAGTTAGATATATACATATATCATCCTACTTGCCACCTAGATGGGAGACTAGATAATTTTAACTTTGCAATTTTTGGTAATACATTTAGTCTGAACATACTTTATAGAAAAAATGGACTTCTCAATATGAGCAATGATTGAAAGTCTGGGGATGCTTAGCTTAGATAGAGGAATACTTTGGAAAGATAAATATGTTGTTTATTTTTTGAAGGTTATCTTTTTATAAAGGAAGTAGAATTCAAATAGTAAGTAGCATCAGTAAGAGTATGAGAAGCATGTTTTCAGTTATTAAGAGGAAAATATTTGATATACAGAGCAGCTTTTGATAGTGCAAGTATTGTAAATCCTGTCATAGGTAGAAAACTAAACCTACGAAGTAATGTGAACTAGTCAAGATCATACCATTAATTATTGGTAGGTGTTCCTGTCATTAAGTAGGCAGGAAATAGTTGTGGTAAATAAACTCTAGCAATAATATAATAAAGAAAGCATTAAATATTTGGCTTATTCACTGAAACCTAACAAGTGATTAATTGAATTTTTTTGGTAGCTGTTGTATTTGTTGTTGATAGCAGTCATAGAGACAGAATTAATGAAGCACACAGTGAACTTGCAAAGTTGTTAACAGAAAAAGAACTCCGAGATGCTTTGCTCCTGATTTTTGCTAACAAACAGGTAATACATGTTATATTAGAATGCTTATTTTAGTATTTTGTGTATTCTGTATCGTAAAGTGGCTGAAAAGATTTTAAAGTGAGCCATTTTAGAAAAAATTTATAAAATTTCTGTGTATTTTAAATACATCTATGTGGAAAGTGCTGGGGACCTTGGAGTATACAAAGAAAGAAGGGAATTAATGTGGACCAGAGATTGTAGTATGTTTCTGAACACCTATAAAATTCTACCACAAAGAAAACTGGAAGTAGCTTCAGTACTTTTAATAACGCACTATGAGGAACAAGAGGATAGGAGTGAAAAAGGGTTGGGAGAAATATAGGAGAGGTATAAATGTGAGATCCTGTAAGATTTGTAAAAAATAGGATTTGAGTGGACATTAAGATTGGGGTTGAAATTACGGGTAGGACTTTGAATGTAAAGGAAAGAACATTACAGGCAGAGAAAATAATAGCAGAGTGTTTTTTAGGAGCATCAAACAGATCTGTATGTGAGGTGCAGGTAAAGGATGATGAAAAAAATCTAGAATAACAGGTGCAGTTACTTTGTGAAAGTCTGATAGAGCTAGACTGAGAAATGTAGGTTTTAGTCCATAAGCAAATAAGAATCATCAGAATGTTTTTGGACTAGTGAATGATGAGATCATATCAGTGTGTTAAGACTAATTTGGGGGGCAGAATGTGCAATGAAACAGGGCAAGGAAACAAATAATAAAATCCAGTCAACTATTGAAATTAGTCATGTGATGGTTAACAAGACCCAGAAGTAGAGGAGGAGAAAGGCAGAAGCAGGCCAGAGAGACTGTATAGGGGTAGAAGTATTAAAATTTAGTGACTGAATGGAGAGAACAAAGCATTGCAAGCACTGTATCTGAAGATGTCCAGATCTTGAGACCAAGATTCTAGGAGGATGAGAATGATTTTAAGTACATGTAGAAGTTGAGAAGTGAAGTCCAGTAGAGAAATACAAGAGGGGAAGAGTAGGATGATGAGTAAAGAATTTTCTCCTGATCTTTATGCTTACTTATACTGGATGAAATGCAAATGAGATACCTATCAGGTTGTTAGTGAGATTATTTCAGAACATGTAGATTCATATGCATGGTGTGGTTATCAAACTGAGGTTTTTTTTGGTCTTGGTGCTCAAACTCAGAGGCTTATACATGTTAGGCAAGCTCTTTACCACTGAGCCAAATCCCTGCCCAAGGCATTTTCTTGGAGGACAGTTTGACAGTATCTGGCAAAGTTTTTGATGCATATATCCTAAAAATCTATAGTAATGTATCCTGTAGACAAATATCCAAAGGTTAGCCTATAAATCATATTATAGATGTTATGTAAACACATATATACATACATACATGTATGAGTGTGTTATATGTATGTGTGCACAGTTTTCTCTCCGTATCCATGGGGACTGGTTCTGGGACCTCTTGTAGCTACTAAAATCTTTGGAGATGCTGAAGTCCTTTATATAAAACAGCATAGTATTTGCATGTAAGCTACACACATCCTCCTATATACTTTAAACTTCCTATAGGTTACTTATAATACCTAATACAATATAAATTCTGTTAATAATTACACTTCAATATTATTACTGATTTTTTGATTTGCTTTTTGGGCTTGTTTTTTTGTTGTTGTTTGAGACAGAGTCACACTGTGTTGTTTCAGGCTGGCCTCAGAATTCATTACAGTCCTCCTGCCTCAGCCTCTGGTGTGTGCCACCATGCCTGGCTTAACTTTGTTATTCAGGGAATAGTGATAAATAAAAAACAGCTGTACATGCTCAGTACTATTGCAGGTGTTTTTCAATATTTTCAATCTGTTGGTTGAATCCTTCGACGCAGAACCCACAGATACAAAGGGCCCGTATATAAGGATTTTCAACAGCATGTAAGCTTGACTTCAGTAGTCAGTGTAGGACTGGTTATATAAATCGTGTTACATCTACACAGCGGAATTCAGTTTTCAATATTCAAATAATGTAGGAAATCTGCATGTGCTGATAAGTTACTTTAAGTCAACGTGTTAAGTTAAAAAAAAATCAGGCAAGTTCTAGAAAGTCAGCTATGTTTTTTTTTGTGTTTATGTGGATCAATATGCATGGAAATTTTCTGGAAAACTACATAAGACATTGTTACTTATTGTTGTTCCTGAGAAGTAGGAACAAAGGGTGTTTAGAGTGGTAAATATGATAAACTCCATTATATAAACCCTGTATATACTATTTTAATAGTTATGTATGTGTTAATTTCTTTTTTGTTAAATGATGTCTTATAATGACTTAGTTTCTTCCACTCAGGTTGCATAGCCTTCACTGATTTCATTGTAAGAGTATTAGTACACACACACACACGCACACACACACATTAATACACATACAACCATTTTTGCCAAAACTTTTTTCTATTACTACTTTCAGGATAATTATTGAAGGATGAATACTGATTTTTAAATGTGTTTAGGTTTCTCTTAGAATTCTATCAATAGATTTCTGCATAAATAATAACTGGAAAAATGCAAATTTGGATACGTTGAAAAAATATACTAAATACTATAAAATATACTCTATATGTCTTTTAGGATGTTGCTGGAGCACTGTCGGTAGAAGAAATTACTGAACTTCTCAGTCTCCATAAGCTCTGCTGTGGCCGTAGCTGGTATATTCAGGGCTGTGATGCTCGAAGTGGTATGGGGCTGTATGAAGGATTGGACTGGCTCTCACGGCAACTTGTAGCTGCTGGAGTATTGGATGTTGCTTGATTTCAAGTGCCACAATTATTTAGTTTTGTGGTTAAGAGTTATTTTGCACGTAATACATAAGATTCTACATCACAAATACTATAGTTAATTAAGGATGTGCATAGAAAAGAATCTTGCACTGGGAACGAAGTATGTTATTTGCTTTTAAAAAGTTGTTGTGTGACAGAATGTGAATTATTATAGCAGATTAAATTGGATTAACTAGAGATTTTTTAGATATACATTCTTTTAAAAAGTGTATTTAAGATTTCCAGATAATATGTTACTCCATATATTGGGAAAAAAGTTGTCACAGAGACAGGATAAGTGAAGGTTTTGTTTTTCCCAGTGGAAAAGCAGATATGCCAACTGAGTGCCTAGTGTAACTTGTGTAGAGCAAGGGAGTCATAACTTCTTTAACCTGCCTTTTCACTGAATTTTGGCTATTTAGTAGTAGACATGGCAGCTGCTTAATGAAATAGAATAAACTGCATTTGGGAGTAACAGGATTATTTCATTGTTCACTATAACAGAACATCTTTAATGCAAAGAACTACAAGGTATAAAGTGAGTATTTTATACGTTTTATTAAAACTTTTCTCAAGCATTTTGTATAAAACAGAGAATGAAATGTTATCTTACTAGACCCAAGTGTCAGATTAGAACTAGTAAAATGAAGAGTAATTAATAAAACTGTGAGAGTCATTTGATCTTCTCCTAGGCTTATTTCCTAGGCCAGAGCTCTAAATTGGTCCTTCTACTTTTCAACACGTTTCTTTTTAAAATATTCTATGCTTTGTAGGAGTGATTGTAGGTCAAACATAGTCACACAAAGAACCAGTTTGTGGTTCTTCACATAAAAGAGAACTAATAGCTTTACATAAAAGAGAGAACTAAATCAGCTTTCCATAAAAGAGAACTAAATAGAAAACAACCTTTAAGAGTTGCTATTCCAAATAGTAGGGAATGCCTATTATTTTTAAAATATTTCCCAAAGTAAGTGCATTTATTCAGCAAAAAAAAAAAAAAAAACCACAAGGCTTTTCATGACAAAGCCTCACAGTTATTTAAGAGGAGAGAGGTATCTACAGAAGGAAACAAAACTTTCAAAGTTTACATGTTATGCAGTGTTGTGAATAAAAGTAAAAAAAATTGTGCTCTTTACTGTTTCTCATTTTTAAACGATACTCATGAAAGCATGATTTTATTAATTTAAATAGCTAGTTTTTTTTTGTTTTTTTAATGCTCTTCATACTTTGTGATGAAGTTCAACCTTCTGTCTTACTAGCTGAATTGTTGTAAGGACAGTGATGTCTGATGACAGAATATGACTTAGGTGGCACTGTTATGGTTCACTCTTCAGATGTTTTTTAAACAATAATTTTAGAAAATAAAGCATTTAAAAGTCCATCACTGTTATGGGCAATATGTAAATAAGTATAGTGTTTTGTCCTTTATTTTTCAAGTAAAAGGTCATGCTGTTACTAGTAGTTTGTGTGCTTAAGTGATACTTTGGAATTAAATTATTTAATATTTCACTGATTTCAATGTAACTGTGAAAAATAAAAATGGTGTTGCATTTGCCTGTGAACCCTTAAACTGGTTTCTGTACTAGGTAATTGAAAAAAGTATAGCATTAACATGTGAACTTGCTTTCCTTATAACTTGTTTCACTGATTTTGGTAAACTTTGTAATTCACATTCTTAGCATATAACTGAACAGTTTTACAACTTGGCTTCTGCCGGACCATAATGTATATATATTGGTAGGGTTTGTGTTTGGTTTTTCTTAAAGAAATATTTTTCTCATGCTCCCATTACTGTTTGTGGTAGTCTTTCACTAATTAGTCAAGACTGTGCTAGTTTTCCCTGGGAAATGTCAAATTTAAGAATGACAGATGTTTTAAACACACTATGTTAAGATTTGCCTCCTAGCTCTGAATTTCTGTATTAAGTTTAAATAATATTGTATGGATTATGTAAAGCAGCCGTCAAGTGTGTCACCCTGGTTTATAATTCAGGAATGCTTAAAACCACCAGAAGCCATTATTTGCTTTACATACATGACCAGTATAGACAGCAATAAAATATTAAAATCATTATAAAGAAGTCCTGTCATTATTCAACAAAGTCTGTTTCTTGAACCATGCATCTAGTATTACTGCTAGTAACCAACTTAAAAAGTCATTAAGGGTTGGGGGTGGACCTAGCCTACCTGAGACCCAGGTTTGCTCCTTGGCACAATTAAACAAGGGGTGGGGCTAAACCTTATAGTGAACAGTGTGAAGCTTTTTAGTTTTTACTCCTTTTTAAATTGTAAAGAACATGGCATTTTAAAATTTTTTTGGTATCAGGAATCTAACTCAGGATCCTGTGTTTGCCAGGCAGGTGGTGCCCTGCTGAGCCCCTGAACATGGCGTTTTAAATGACTTTTTTTTCTTTTCTCTGTTTGAGACAGGGTTTCATTATACAGTTCAGGGCTGGCCTTGAACTCTCGGCCTCCCCAGTGCTAGGATTACAGGCATGTGCCACCCCGCCTTGCCTTGAAATGACCACTTTAAAACCTGGCTTGAGGGTTTGGGAGTGTAGTTCAGTGGTGCACATGCTTAGCAAATCCAAGGCTCTCGGTGTTTTTTTTTAGGGGGGAGGCGCGGGGCTTGAAAAACAGCTGCAGCCTATGAATAGTGATGAGACTTTATATAACGCTGTACTGGTTTTCAGTTTGTACAGTGGTAACGGAGGAAGATGGGTGTACTCTTCCCTAAAAGAACAAGAAATAAAAAGGGTTAACAAGTGTGAGGATAGGAATTTTTCTTTTTTTTTTGTTTTTTTGAGACAGTGTCTTGCTAAATAGTTTCAGCTGGCCTTGAACTTGCAGTAACCCTCCTAGCTTAGCCCCTTGAGTGCTGGCTGGGATTACAGGCGAGTACCACCATGCCCAGAAGAAGTAGTTTTTTTTTTTTTTGGTACCGAGAATCAAACTCACCTTGCACTTGCCAGGTAGGCACTGTGCTGCTGGGCTGTATCTCCAGCCCAGAAGTATTAGTTCTTAATAGAAGTAACTTATAAGAGTAGTGATGGGGGGCTGGAGATTTAGCTCAGTGGTACAGTGCCTGCCTGGCAAGTGCCAAGTTGTGAGTTCAGTCCCCGATACCGGAAAAAAACCAAAAAAAAAAAAGAGGGTAGTGATGAACTCAATATACAACTCTGAGGTCATATTGTTTTGTTACTCCAATTTCTACTAATCTCTTTACTATTAGATGCAAAATTTTTCCTCTTACGTATATACTTTTTGATTGTGTATTTATTGAACTGAGATGTAACTTGAGGACAGAAAATTGTTGAGCTACGTTAGAAGATATGGAAGTAATGAACCTGCACTTTAAAAATTCAAGTAAAAATAAATCATGCTGGGCCTAGGGAATATAGCTCAATGGCACAGTGCCTGCCTGGCAAATACAAGGTCATGAGTGTGAGTTCAATCCCTTGTACCCCCCAAAATAAATAAATAAAAATTCAAGTAATCACTTCTGGTTACTGTACATAAAAAATATTTCACAATATTAAGGAATATAACACTTTTGACCAGTGGAGCCTTATTTATTATGAAGGTTTGTTTACTACTACTGAACAATGATCAAAAGATGAAAATATTTGGTATGAAACAAAAACCTTAGAAAAGGAAATAATATATATGAAGGCTCCCCCCCCACCACCACCCCAGACTGTTCTGCCCTCTTCTAAACATAAGGGCACAGTATCTGGCATGTTTTTCAAAGGTAAGGAACAAGTATGCACCACTCCCAATATTTAATAAGTTAATATTTTTGAGACTTAAGAGAAATTACCTATAAGGAATGCTATTTGCCTGAGTGTAGTCTACTTCACCATCTCTTAGGATTAGAAATACTGCAAGACAAAGGCAGTTTTTACAAAACAGACTTTAATGAGAAAAATATAGCACTGCATGTTTTAAAACATGACTTTATAATCAGCAAGTTTTAAGTTTCCTAATGTAAATCTTGTATTTAATAAATGTATTCCTTTTTTTTTTTTTTTCGTCTTTTTTGAGACAGGGTCTCACTTTGCATTTCAGGCTGGCCTTGAGCTTACTTTGTAGCCCATGCTAATCTCAAACTCGCAAGGATCCTCCTGCTTCAGCCTCCCAAGTGCTGGAATTACAACCATGCGCCACCATGCCTGTCAATAAATGTACATTTATTTGCAAATATAGTGAAACATCTTATTCTACTTGACAGTGATATTTATAATGCTGACATCCTCGTAAGGTTTATCTGTTTTGGGATTGACTTTGACGTTGGAGATCCTCTGCACAACTTCCATTCCTTTCGTCACTCTTCCAAATACTGTGTGCTTATTATCAAGCCAAGGCTGTGTTGGAGGACAAATGGAAAATGTTGGTAAATGTGGCTTTCTTAACTCATACCTCTTGGATGAACAATTAAAGTTCTTGGTTCATTTTATTAATGTATTTAAAGTGACACACAATAATTTTGGAACAATAAAAACATAGCAGCTTTTAAAAGTTACTCCCAGTTTATATAAAGACATACAAGCACACATTACTCTTTAGTATTCAGGGAGGACTGGTATCCCTCATTCCCCTGTAATATTAAATCTCTAGATGCAATTTTCTTTCTGAATATTTTCAATCCATGTTTTTAGTAAGATCAATGAATAAGGAACCCAAACAGAGGATCAAGTTCAATTAAATCTATGTTCTTCACACCAAAGAGAGGTAGATATTTGCTAAAGTTAGGTTACTTTGCGTGGATTTAAAAAATTAACACTAAGGCTTCAGAAATTCTTTGTAGGATCTTTCCTGGACAATTAAGAAGCAGTATGAGATAGTTTACCATGTATTGTAATTGATAATAGGTGGTAATTGATGTAACTGATAGTTCAGTTTGTAGGTCTACATTTTACTTGCCCTGTGGCAAGTTAATCATGTCTCACCATTTGTTTCCTCATGTTACTCAAAGGTGAATACAGTTACATTATAAACATAACTGACACCAGTAATATTTTTCCTTTCTTCATTGTTTGTTCTTTGAAAAATTTTACACTTCTTATAATTTTGTGGAATTGCATAACAACAGCTAGATGACCTAGCTAGTTATATGCTACTTAGTTATATGGTAGTTTATATGGTAGTTAGTTGCTACCTAGTTGTATTTTATCAACTCTTCTCCAATTGTTTTCATTTTTGTATCTTGGCAGGTATGCAGAAGGTAGAGAATAACACGGCTCTTTTGTCCACTGACTTCATTGTCTTAGATCATAACCTATGAATTGATGGTTTATAAAGAATGCACTCACCGTTGGTACTACTGTTATGAAAAACTGTGATCCATTAGTATTTGATCCAGCATTAGCCATGCTGAGGGTGTATGGTCTGTCATGTCTGAGTGTTGAATGAAATTCATCTTCAAATTCTCCTCCCCATATGCTTTCTCCTCCCATACCAGTACCTGTCGGATCTCCGGTCTGAATCATGAAACCCTTAACAGAAAATATATAAAAGCATGTTACATTTCTTAAAATAGTCTATATATGAAGGCCTTTAACGTTTTATGTATTTCTGGCCAAGAGTGCTTTGTATTCAATGAGATTCTCGCTTCCTTAAGTATCTCTTATAAAGTAGTTACATTACCCTTAGTTAAATATGGATGATGTATTTTCATTCAGTGACTGAAACAAGAATACAAAGGTTTGGGATGGGCTCAGAGTCACACACCTGTAATCCCACTAATTGGAAGGCTGAGGCAGGAGGATTGCCATGAATTTGAGGCCAGCCTGAACTATATAGTGAGACCCTGTCTCTCCACCCCAATACAAAGGTCTTCTCATCTATAGACATGCACTACTTTCCTAACATAAATAGTAAATAAGTGTTAAGATTGTGTATTTTATGTCTTATACAACTGTCCTCATCATCTTTATCTCACCTGAAATGTCACAGAATTTATAGAGGAGTTGTTTGACTAATTCCTTCAGAACTCTTGACAACTAGTTGATTTTTCTTTTTATTTTTTTATTTGCTTTTGGAGATAGAGTCTCACTATGAAGTTCAGGCTAGCCTTGAAGTTGTAATGATAGGGCAAAAGAGACTATTTTCTGTTTTTAACTCCATATTAAGAGAAGTCACTTAAAGTTCACTTAAGCTGTAGTTGACCCCCACTTTTTACCCCTTCACCTTGATTAGTTATCAACTCACTTAAAGCAGAGCGGAGTCATAAAATGGGAACAACACAAACAGGATAGATTGGGAAGGAGACTAAAAGTTAAACTGCAATGGTCATTTGGAATTTGGCTGCCGGACCTTCTGGGAGAAGTAAACTTTGTGATAACTGTGTGACATTCTTGTAAGACTGCCAAAAATGAGGTAATGGTTACTGTGGAAACCTACAATGTAATTAACTGAAGGTGAGACCCAGATCAGTGCAGACATTTTCTCTGGCTCTTGGTTAGACTGTCCATCAGCTGGCTCAATAAAGCTTTGTTCGTTCCTGCTCTTTTGGTTTCTTGTGAATGCCATTATCGATAAACTCACTTGTCATATCAATAGCAATTCTGCTTCAGCTTTCTGAGTGTCAAGATTACAGGTGTGCAGCATTAGAACCAGCTCTCGCTCCCATCTCTGATTTGCCAATAAGTAAGAACTATATCACTGCCCTATCTTTTCTGGGATCCTGTTCAAAATTTTGGGGTTGAGCTTACTCTCCTACTCAGGTATAAAAGTGGTCTCATGGGTCAGGTGGCATTGTGCTCTTCTATGGTTTAAAAACTTATCCTCTCGATTAGACCTTGCATAGGTACCAGGAACTGGTTACCTTTGTTACTTGGTTTTACCTCAGCATGACCTTTTATCCATTATCTTACCCTCTGCTTTAGCTACTGAATGAATGTTGCTCCTTCTGTCTTTGATTATGGATATGCATGATTATCCATTCTCTTTTTTGGCTTCTATAATCCACTTTCCTGTTTCCTTCTAATAAACTAGTATGCATAAGAGGATTCTTTAGGCTTAAATTCCTTGTCCAGTAATGTACTATTTGTTAAATCACAAAAATTAGAAATT